ATAGGAATCTAGCCTAAACCTGATGTTGGTTGCCCCCAAGCCCATTTGCCCCTCCTAAGATGTGTCCCAAACTCCGCCGCTGATCCCATGGAGGCTCGTAAAGCTATCAGGGCAATAAGAACATATATCAAGGGGGTAGCTTCCTATACAGGAGCCTTGTGATTGGTGCTATGTTAGGTGCTAGTTTTACATGATTTTTTTGCCGGTGCGATATCTTTTAGTCGCGCTCAAATGATTTCTAAAGAAGTAGGTCATCCTGCACATGTTTGTTTTGTTTTGAGTTTATCTTCAGCTAAATTCGAGACATTTTAGTGTTGTTTTGTTTTAACTAAAATAGTACCATTGTGTATTGAGTCAAAATTAAAATGAAGAGTTTACGCCACGAGAAACCGTTTGTAAAGGTCGGTGTCTTCGATTGTTTTTCACCTCTTGCCACAAAAAAGGGGAAGCAAAAGGACGTGGAGGGAGTTGCAAGCAATTATGTGTATGGAGCAACCAAAACAACCATGGAGAAGGCTATTACATTAAGCAAGGCTACATATCGAGTGTCTACAAGAGGATGGGCATTATTGGGGAGAAATGAAGAAGAAATTTATCATATTAGTCATGCCCTTTCCTTTAGATATCTTCTTTAATTAAGGGAGAAATGCATGGCCTACATATCGAGTACCTTTTTTGTCACAAAATTTCTGTTCTTTCCAGAAATTGCCATGCATTTCTAACAAACTGCCAACACCATACAACTAAACTTGCCATCTAGAACATTTGCCAATACTAACCCATTCCCATCAAACGTTCGCCACATATGCAGTCTTAATGTTATTTGCAACATTGATGCCACATAGTCTGTTTCTTCTAGATAATCTTATTAGCAACATTGATGCCACTATACTCTTGCAAACACAGGTCTTGCTGCGATGCTGTGAGGTTTCTATAGTCATTCAATAAGCACCAGATTATGTTTTTCTTCTTTTTGAAGGAAACACCATCTAGCGCACTTCACCAAAATTATAAGAGTCATATCGTTCACGACATGCAGCAAGATGAAACTAGGTGGATCACCATCCCAAAACACTACGGAATGAAGATTGTCCTTTTATACCAAACAATTCAAAGATATATAAACATATTATGTTCAACATTTAAGGCTTCGGTAAAACAAAAAGATAGTACATCAGTAACATTGTGAGACATGATCAATTCATTTCCGATGCATAATATTCAGGATGGCTCTTGCCTCATGCAAGAAACAGTGTCCAAGCCGGAAAATGGGGCTAAGGAGAACAAAATATTGGCTAGATAAAAACCAAGATAAATATTTAACCTTGCCAGAAAGTAAAGCCTATACTGACTTGCTCAAATAAAATTACTGGTTTTACACTGAGGCTTGCCGGAAACCAAGTGACTTGCTCGATGAATAAAATTACTGGTCCTACAATGATGTGGCACAGAAAACTTCTCCCTGTCAGCATTGTACAGTTACATGATTTCACTGTGGTGCTGCACCGCGAGGCGGAGGATGCTGTGGTGGCGGTGGTGGAAGGCCAACATTGCCCATCCCTGGCTGCAAGACCAAAGACACACTTGAGTGAATACGGCAGCCACAGCACCAGTGCGAATAAACAATTTACACAACATATCATGGCCTGAGCAAGTCAATTTAGATATGAACAATCCATTAACATGCGACGGGAATCTTACCTGGTAAGAACCTAGACCAGGAATGGATGACATCTGTCCTTGTGGAGCCATCTGGCCCTGAGGCCGGTTGTACATACTGCCCATAGGAAAGTTTTGCATGCCAGAAGCACCTGAGGAACCTTGAATGTTTCCCATTCCGTTCGGGAAGCTGCCCATTGGAGGCATATTGCCGGGAGGGATGGAACCCGGATGATTCTGGTTCAGGCCAATCAAGTGTTGTGGCATTTGAGGCATCATCTGGGTTGACGAACCTTGCATTGCCTGTACATATCAAAACCAACATATCAGCCATCATTCCAGTAGTTCCAAGGATTCAGCGCAGAAGAGCCAGTATAAATGGTACAGAATGTGATTCGCATTCTAAAGATGTAACAGAAACTTCAAATGTATTTGGGTTTATAATGCATATCATAGTAGCGTGGCACCCTGCCCCTCTGGCCTCAATGAAAAGAGTGTTCAATGTTGAAGAAAAAACAGCCAAGCAAACACCTGAGTAGAAGGGTCTAATAGTGAACTATTTTTTTTTAAAGTACGCAAATTTTTCCATGTAACCACCATGTATGACAGTACAGGAATGTTGCTTTTCACTGGAAACAAAGTGGTACAGAAATTCTGAAAATAATAATAGAAAAAGGTATCGGTGAATAGTACCATTGGGTGTGGCATGGGTGGTAGCGGTGGGTTCACTGGTGATGGCCCTGGCATGGAACCTGGCATCGATGGAAGCTGAGGAAGTGATGATCGAGGTCCTTGTTGATGTTGAAGAATGTGTGCTGGCGGTGGCATATTTGGAGGCGGTGGCCGAAATTGAGAATGTTGCTGCTGAGGCATCTGTTGATAGTGTTGCTGCTGCCCAGTGGGTAGAAGAGATGGATGAGGACCTGGTGGCAACGGAGGCGGGCCAGGTGGAAGACCAGGTATAGATGGCCTCTGTTCTCCATGATCAGATCCAACAAGATGCATTGCAACACCAATGCCAGGTATTGTACCAGCAAATGGCCCAGGTGTTTGTTCAGGCATCTGGAATCGACCAGCAAAAGCAGAGTGTTGGTCACCATAACCTGATAAATTGACATCTTCAAATTATTGCCCAGATCAAGAAAAGAAAGCCAAACAATACCCGGAGGATCAAAGACAGACAAAGTGAACTGGTAATGTTTATGGAATTCTCTAGCTAACTATTTCGTGCAATCAGAAGGCATGCATTCATTACCCATCTTTTTTTTCACAACTCAAACCAAAAACAAAGCAAGCTGAGAATGAATCAAAGCAACCTTGGATCTGTCCGCTGTTGAATTTATCACGGGTAAGATCGCCAGGCCTGTTTCTACACCAGAATCTTGTAGCATGATCATTGCCACCACTGAGAGAAAATAACAAGATATCAGTCCAAACAAATGCTATTACAAGGACTAGCATGAAATGGAAGTTTGAATATTTCAGATACAGATACAGTTAAAAGAAATAACCAAACATTACAATCAGCATGTTTCTATATCCACATTTATAACTATAAGTACTCCCTCCATTCCAAAATAATTGAAGTTATAGGTTTGTCCCTAAGTCAAACTTGTTTAAGTTGACCAACTCTACAGAAAAAGTGGCAAGATCTACAACACCAAATATACCTAGTACAAAAAATATTTCGTAAAGAATCTCATGAGGCTAATTTGGTGTTCTACTCCCTCCATTCCTAAATATAAGTCTTTTTAGAGATTTGAATATGGACTACATACCGATGAATATAGACGTATTTTCGAGTGTAGATTCACTCATTTTCCACCGTATGTGGTCCATATTAGAATCTCTAAAAAGAGTTATATTTAGGAACAGAGAGATTAGATGTTAATGTACTTTTCTATAGATTTGGTCAAACTTAAACAAGTTTGACTTAGGACAAACCCAGAACTTCAATTATTGTAGTACGTCAGAAAAATAATAACCCACAAGCACATGATCAGCCACGTACATTAAGATTTAAAATTCAGAAAGTAATAGTTTGTAAATTAAGTACCTGGAAAGTAGATAGCCCACTGGATGCCAGGCAAGGTCCCACACACTATTGTCATGTGCATTATTTATTTCAATTTGTGGGGCTTCATGGCTGCCAAAAACAATGAAAAATATGCTCATCAGTTTGAGATATCATTTCTAAACAACACAAAATAGCAACTAGAGTATCTTTTTGTTAACTGGACATCTCAAGATTATCTTGAAAAAAATATGAAAAACAATGATATGTAATTAATTATATATTCAATTATTCATGACTATCAAAGGTGTAGATCACAACAAATCACAGTAAAATGAGTTCCGATCCAAATTGAAGTTGTGATAACAAACTGCCAGGCCAGTCCGAATTATTATGTCAATGGCTCCATTTATGTTTCTTACCCGACCAACCAATGAAAGATTCCACCATCATAGCTCCCACTAACAAAGTATTCTTCGTGGAATGGATGCCATGCCAAAGCTGCAGAAATAAATAGAGTAAATCAAATAACACAACCATGCTGAACAAGGGCAGCGGACATTATAATTTTCTTTGTAACGTTAAGTCATTGGTCTGATCATGTAAAGCAAATGAATAACTTGAGTGAAAATATATCTAATCTTGTAGGAAAGAAACATAGAATTGAAATTCTGTGATGGGAATCTAACCAGTTACATCCTTATTGTGCCCACGGAAGGATTCAAGTTCTTTCATGGATCTAATATCATATAACTGCACAAAACACATTCACAATAATAAGTGAGGAATTGCCCGATATATCATGGATTAATTTACTGGATAGAAAGAGACAGATAGAACAAGGCAGACACACTAAGTTCCTGAAGGCACATGCAATTTGAGTATGGAGTACGGAAACTACTACATTAGAAGGAGAGGAAGAGTTTGTTCCCTACTTGCAACTATGAAGCATGACTTAATGGATATGATAGATTATTAATTAGGTTTAGGAAGCTTGGTTTTTTCGGATCACGTGGCTTAACCGCTTAAGTGCGTTCTAAAAGTTGGTATCAAACATCGGGCACTATTAGTATGAACTTGTCTTCCTCACTAGCACAAGTATGTGTAAAAATCAGCAGAACTAATAAGCTACCAACATATTTAAGTATTCTTCTTTCAGAGGGAAAAGTAAGAAGTTAATAATAACAGGGTAGAAATGTAAAAGTTATTGACCTTGATAATCTGATCCTTAGACGCAGTCAAAACCCAGTTCCCATTCTGATTCCATTTTACACACTGCACAATATTTTTATGACCATGGCTGCAGAAATAGCTGATCAGGTGCTGCCATACCACAGAACTTCATGGTTTGCAACATAAGACGAGGGACACAAATACTTACAATGAACGTAGCTCCCTACCACTTTTTGCATCCCAGAGTTTTACAAGATAGTCTTTCCCACCTGGATAGCACAGAAACAAATGAGCTCTGGACAAATAAACCCATTATTAAACTAACAATAATAATGACTAACCTGAAGCCAGTAAAGATTTTGTGGGATGCCAATCGACACTTTTAACATCCCAACCATGGCCTGGCTGAGTTTGAAGGCAAATTCAGGTTAATTCACACACAAAAAGTTAATACCACAATGTTACTTCAGACAAGCAAGCATCAAGTAGCACATGCACAAACGAAAAGTTTAGCAACATTACCAGTTAGGGATCTTTCTTCTTGGCATCTTGCGAAGTCCCAAACCTTCACGGTTGTGTCATCAGAACATGAACAGAACTTCAGGTCTGTTCTACAAAAGCTGTTTAAAGTATGTGTTTAAGTAGGGAATGAACATTAACTTGGTACATCTAAAGTAAAGAACATAGCACAGCCATCACCTCAAGTCACGGACTGATTCTCTGTGTGCAGTTTTATTCACTTTGACATTGTTCATGTTACTTTGCCAATACCTGGAAAGGATTCAAATTTCAAAGGATGCAGTTAACAAGTCAAACAATTTAACATTATTAAGGGCCAGTATTTAGCAATGGTACAAGGTGAAAGGGCCAGCATACTTTATTGCACCACCATCATCACCCGTAACCATCCAATTTTCATTGTGACTCCAAATCATTGATCTCACGGCTTGTTCATGAGCCTATTTATCAAATTAATAACACCAAATAAGTCAAGTTAACTAAGGCACTAGTAACTGCACCAGTAGCTAATGTGAAATACCTGAAGAATCATTTCAAAATTAAAAGATTGTCCATTCCATAGGGTGAATTCACCACTCTGTGATCCAGTAATAAGCCGGCGTCCCGTAGGAGTCCACTTTATCCAGAAATAACACTATGTTAGACCCAGACCAGAAAAAAGTAAAAAATAACACCAAAATAGAACCTTCATGAAAGTTTTCACATAGATGACAACAAAATAGATACTGGCATGGAGCTGTCAAGCTGATCTACTAACTAGTGTAAAAACATGGGAATTTGGAATTTTCCATCAACCTAGGTGACAGATTTTAATGCATGTGATGATGTTGATCCTTCAATAAGTCTACTACCCAAGTAGTGAAGGTAGTTAGGCATTCAAACATTTAAGGACCATACAGCAACTTCATGCACATCATATTTTCAAACCAAGTAGCACATTTAGAACAAGGAGATAGAGATGGCAATAGATTTGAAGAGAAAAGGGAGCTCAGTTATGTACGGTCAGGCCCGGGCGCATGGGAGTGCAACCTGTGCGCCCGCACAGGGCCTCCACTTCCTAGGGGCCCCTGATTTTCAAAGCAATATTACAGAAGCAGGCTCAGTTGCAAGCTCGAGTCCAGTTGGCCCAGTTGCATGTTCCAATCAATCAACCACGGTGAGGTGGGCTTCTGGGCTGCGCTCACGATACGCAAGGAAGCAGCAGCTGCTTGATCGCTCGAAGCCTAATCCCTGTCCAATCGTTCGTCTCAAGCAGACGTAAAAAAGCATCCAGATCCAGGCTGCGTCTGCACCTCTTCTGCGTTTGTGACTCTTCGTCCGCAACACCGAAGCAGAAGCTGAGCACCAGACGGCAGCAGCTGAGCCCAGGTGAGCGGTTCGAGTTTGGCAAATGATGGAACCCTTTTTCCATTGGCTAAGGACTGGCGGCTTTGACTGTGAGTTCAACTAATTTTATTTAATTTTCATCTTCTCGGTTTTGGCTTTTGATTTTACCAATACCTTGTAGTTAATTTTATTGTTTTCATCTTTTTTATATTAGATGTTTAGTGTTCCAACATCTAGATAGGTCATGTTTTCATCCCGAGACCATAAATCTAACTCAATCTGAAAAAGAACTATGCAACCAAGCGTTGAATGGATAAGATTCTCGATCCACCCCATTGCTACATGACACAGTATAACCTATACATTATTATCATTCTATTTTTCTACTGTAGTAGGGCATATTTTAATGTTTAGCACAGGGCCTCTGATTTTGCCAGCCCGGCCTACGGTCTAGTGTTTGTGAACACTTCAAACTATTCTTTTAATTTCGAACACATTCTGCCAGGATTGATGTTCTCAAGTTTTTCTTACTACTACTAGAAGCCAAGTACGTTTGAAGCTTCGAAAATGCAGCAAGCCAATGTTGGTGACCACAATACCTCCAATCACCCATTCAATATTTCAACTGTATAGAAAGTGCATTAGTGCATGATGTCAGAAGGGGAAAAAAGTCACTATAAAGTAGTTGTCGAATTAGCTTCTTGTATTGTGACTCCTGTTATATGATTAACATGTATCTTTCACACTAGGCATCACGCTCACAGATACCACTTCTATCTTGGAAGTCAAAGTCAAGTAAAACTGAAATGCCAAGTAGGGTAAACAAGTATATTATGTAGAATCACATCTATCTTCAGTTCATGTAACCCTGCTGCCATGACCTGGTGGGGTTTTTTGAGATATGCAACAGTAGGTGCCTGCAGCTAGAGCATCAAGAACATAGAGAGATGGGTATCACTTAACTCACCACGACACAGTTTATGGAGCACCGGTTCTTATTGATAGATGAATGAACAAATTTCCCAGCAAAACTTGTAGAGGGGTTGTCTGGGTATGCAACAGAAGGCAACATCTGCAATAACGGTGTTAATCAGTATATCTCGATAAGAAATAGCAGAAGTTATAATCTTGTATTCATGATGTAGTAAATACATATAACTTCGAAAATTTCCACTAATAACACTCATACATCAGAATTTTATTACTGAAGATGGTAACTGATATAATTGGGAACAAAATCAGCACTAAAATTGAGAGATCAGATCCAAAACCAACTAGCCAAGTGACAACTAAAATCACACCACTTTCATATCTAAAAAGGAAGAGCCAAAATGAAACACAAGTAAACAGGTGTTCTTTTTCATTACTGAGTGCATTCATCAATTGTAAAGTGGGAGTTATCTAACTGCTTCTTCCTGGAAGAATCAACAGTTCACCCAAACCCCAGGAATTACTTGTTAACCAAAACAATACTTGTCTTGCCTACCACTATGGAACAAGCCTTGCTAGTGACAAACTGCATACTGCCCATACATGACGGCTCATTCACAATTCACCATATCCAGAAACAGGGCAGTATTAAGGTGATAAGGTCTGCCTGGATTTCATCCAGTAAACTAGTGTGTTGATTGATGAAATAACACAAGCCACTCAACAGTAGTAGTGGCCTGGCATCGATTGGAAAAACCATAGATTATCTTAGATAACTATGAGATGAAAGAGAAGGTTTTTTCTAAATTAAGAGGTTTGTTTCAAACAAATTGCATTAAAATATAGCTGCACTTGCACCTTATGAAGATTTGCTTCACAAATATACCATGTACACATTGGCATTAGTTATTTAGGCAAAAACATCCAATCAGCCAGATAAGGAAAACATGAAAATGATAATACAAAACGAAGAGTTATTATGCAAGTTTTTTTACAATTATTTATGAATCTAAATAACAAGAACACAAATATCTGAAATAATATTTGTTAGGCATCCTACACAGCAACATCAATTTTCTATCATGTTTATACATTTGCAAGGCAACACGTTCTTTCTCTAAAACTAAACTATCAGAAACAAGATTTGATAGGCATCCTACATAGAACATCAATTTTCTATCATGTTTATTATACATTTGTAAGGCAACACTACAGTTCTTTCTCTAAATCTAAAATGGCACTTCAAAATCAACTGATGCTTGTGCATGCATCCACTAGTTAGCATTGTTATTTATACCAGAATATTAGCTACGATGTCGCAAAAAAAGAATCTTAACTATGAACACTGTTCAGTATATTTCCAACAATGAGATAATAAAGGATAATATATCACAGATATTGGTGCTTTGAAATGAAAGGTAGATGGTCCAAAATGAACATATTTGGAAGCAAAAGGAGGTTTTCTAAGTACAAAATGCATACAAATTGCGAGTAGTATCTTCAGTATTTTTGAGAAACCAATATCTTCAGCATTTCTGACTAAACAGTATCTTCAGTATAGCACAACTAATATCTTATAACATATTACATGCAGGGTAGCAGGCAACATACATCCAGGACAGCAGCTGCGGTTGGCTGCAACGTGAATCTATCCCTTGCATCCCGCTGCCACATGCGAGCCTGCACAATACAAACTGATGAGCTGCACAATACATTTGTATCGTTTTGTGTCTCCCTTGGACATGGTTGAAGACATTATATAAAAAATAATAACTTCTCAAAAGATAAACACAAAACTAAATATTACCTGAGCATAACGGACGAGAGAGCTCGTGTAGTCCACTGTTCGTCGCTGGACAGGCTTCCGCATCCTCTTAGCGCCAAAATTGTCCCCATAGGCTGAATTGAATCAAAATTAATATCTAGTTGCAATATGAATATTTATATCTTAAAAAGTTGCACGAAACCATGAGCATGTGACAGATTTTACGGGTGTTTCTAAGAAGAATCTCCATCTCGCAGTTTCGGGGAAAAAAGGCGAGCGATACGACAATTACTCGAACAAATCTAGTCTACCCCTACGGACCTAACCCTAACCAGATAAGGCGTAATTACCGTCGAACGGCTGCTGCTGCTGTTGCTGTTGATGTTGCTGCTGCTGATGGTGCTGCTGGGGTCCCGGGTGGCCGGCGTAGTCGGGCGCGAGGTTGGTGGATGACGCCGCAGAGAGCTGCCGCATCGGCGGCTGCAGCGGGCCGCGGTAGAAGTCCCCGCCGCCGCCGCCGGGCTGCGGCGGCGGGTGCTGCGGCGGAGGGGGCGGCAGAGGCTGCTGCTGCTGCTGTTGCTGCATCATCTCCGGCGCCGCGCCGGCGACTGGGTTAGGGTTTAGGGCCCGTGCGGCGGGAAAAGGGGCGGATTTTGGGTGGCTCGTCGAGGCCGCCGGGAGCGTGAGCACAGTAAGCCAAGAGGGTTTGGTTGGAACGAGACGATGGATGGGGAACTGATGGGCTTTCTCCTCTCCGGTAGAAGCCCAACCGGGTTTTCTTGGGCTGTCGAGTAGAAGCCACCCGCTGGTGAAGCTGGCTGGAGGCCTTTTTATATCTTTTTTTCTTTATATCTTTTTTTCTTTTATACATAGATATTATAAAATAATTATGAATATTTTTAAAATAATATATGAAAAAATTAATACACTATGAACATATTTTCAATGCATGATGAATAATATTTTAAAATTTAAACAATTTTTAGTAATTGTGCATGCATTTAAAACAAGATTCATGCATTTTTAAAAGTGTTGACACATTTTTAAACATACGTCACATTTAAAAATGTTCCTTGAATTTAAAAGTGTCTTTATGTTTAAAATGTTTGCAGTTTTATGGAATAACAAAAAACTGAAAACCAGAGGAAACCAATAAAACCTACATAGATAACAAAAGGAGGAGCACCCGGTGACCCCAACCAACAACGTCAGACGCTCGAACTGGACCAGCCCACTATACCATGTGTGCTTGGGCGACAATTTGAAGTATATAACATCATATATGAGCTCTCTTGTGGTGGGGGTACCATTGGCTTCAACACTCGGGGTGTGGCAGTCATGAGCGGTCTGTAAATTGGGCCTAAGGCCACGAGATGGATCCAGTGCGTAGGAATAGTATAAGTAGAGTAGCAAACATTCTAAAAAAAGACATTGTAGAAGAAAAAAAAGTACTAAGTTGTGCCCTTGATGTATTATGTTGCAGATGAATGAAATTTGAACCGTCTCACTTTACGTGCTCCATTCCTTGTCCCCTCTCACTGATTTCCCATCCCAATGTCTCCCTTCAATTGTGGTGATCCACTAATTTTCGATGCCATAGGGACACAAGTTGGCG